AACGAGAAGGGTTCCTTCTTCAGCGCCCCGACTGTAGTGAAGGGATTGGCCATCCTTGAGCCAGCCTCCCCCACTTCCTTGGTCAGGCCGCGGGAGCGAGCGCTCGAGGCGTCAGCCCCCCCCCCCCACTCCAGCCCCTCACTCCTGCAGGGGAGGAGAGGCCCTGGCGCTGAGCGCACGGCCTCGTCGAGGTCGGCGGCGGCCGCCGCCTCAGGAGGCGGGCACCCGAACATGTCGTCGTCGACGGAGCCGAGGTAGCGCCTCTCGGGCGCGACCTAACCGACCCCTGGCAAACCAGCCCCTTCCGTGACGTCATCCTCGCCTTCCGAGCTCCCCTCGGGCCGCGTACACGCGTCCTGGCGCGAGGCGAGGGGGACGCCACGGAAGGGGATGGTCTGCTAGGGGTCGGTCCGGCCGCCCCGGAGCCTCTCTACCTCCAGGTAGTCTGGTCCTCTGCAGGGTCAGTCGGCGGCGAGTCGGAACTCTGGGTCGCATCGGACTCAGCACCGAACCAGGCCGCCCCAGCGCGGCGTCGGACTCGGATCGGCCGGCTGCGCCGACAGCGCCACGGGAGCACCAGGCCGCGTCGGATCGTCGGGAGACCGATGTCGAGTGGAATCGGGCAGGCCGAAACTGACATCGAGAAGAAGCGATCGGATCGAAAGGTACCCTTCCTCTGGGGAAGCAAAAAGGTACTGATTCCACAACTCCCCGGACTTTTCCCGGGGTGCGTTCTGACCAGGATTTCGAGGCGAATCCAGCGGTAGCGACGAGGGCCGCCCAGGAGGCCCAAAAAAGGGGAAACGAGGCAGGGCAGCGGTATGGGCACCGTGTCCTCTCCTCTGCGGGTCCAAGTAAATCCTGCCAGAGATCTGACGTAGCGCAAATTCAAGGCCGGGGCCCTGGGCCCCATCTGTCTGCGCCACTTTTCGAGCGGCACCGATCTTTGAGGGTCATGCAGGGCCCGAAGCTGGGCAAAGACGCCCGGCTCGAAAAACGTGAGACGCCAGGATCACAGGGGAGGCGAGGGTAGCGGTAATAGGGAACCGAAGAAATACATCATCGTTAAAAATTCGGAGGTTCACGCAGACCTCCGAGTTTTTATGTTTATGTTTTTGTTCGTTCCCCTAGGTACGGGTTGTGTGTGTGTGTCTGGGGGGGCCAGCTCTTTAGAGATCCCCCGCGTCAACGACGAACGACGATCGGCGCCGACACTCGGCGCGTCAACGACGATCGGCACCGACACTCGGCACCGACACTCGGCACCGACACTCGGCATCGACACTCGGCAACGACACTCGGCAACGACACTCGGTAACGACACTCGGCAGCGACACTCGGCACGCGCACCCACCAGAGTACACGCTCATCGCCCTAGAGAGAGAGAGAGAGAGAGAGAGAGAGAGAGAGAAAAACAAAAAAAAAAAAAAAAAAAAAAAAAAAGAGAGGCGATCTCTGCCACCCAGACGCGCACAAGGTATGGGTACTCCTTTTCTGAACGCATGAAGACCGACCCCCGACCCCCACAGGAGGAACCTTAGACCAACTGCACCGCGCGCGCGCCCTCCCCACCCCTGCAGAAGCTGGCAGTGGACTCGCGTACAGGGCGCCTACACCTTCGCCGCACACTCGCCACGATAGCAACACGTGGACGTGCAAAATCCATTGCTGTGGGGGCTGGGTGTCGGCTTCCCACTGTTAGAGTTATGTCGGGCGTGTCCCCCTACAGGGGGATTTTCGACGAGAAATAAAAAATACCCCAAACATAGTTTTTAAGATAATCCAGAAATAATCCGGGAACTATTTGTTGAGTATGTTTGTTGCCTTTTTTGGTGGCATTTTGGGGGGTATCTCTTATTTTTCGTCGGAAATCCCCCTGTAGGGGGACAGGCCCGACTTAACGTGAGAGCGTTCCTCCTCCCACCCTGCCTCCGTCGCCGGGCGCCAGGAGCACCCGCAGCAGCTGCGACAGCCCCTCGGGCCTCCACGCCGCGGGCTCGGCGCCGGCGGGCGCCGGCGCGGTGCCTGCGCCGCCACCGCCGCCCCGGCCGCCGGCCCACGGGAGCGCCTGCGGGGGAGGATCCCGCAGCAGCAGCTCGCCGACGAGCTCCAGGAGCCTGCCGTGTGCCAGGCGCTCCTGGGAGGGCGCCGGCTCTACGCCCAGAGGTCCGACGCTCCCGCCCCTTCCCCCTCCTGCTCCTCCTCCTCCTCCTGCTCCTCCTCCTCCTCCTCTTCCCCCTCCTCCTCCTCCTCCTTCCCCTCCTCCTCCTCCTTCCCCTCCTCCCCTCCTCCTCCTCCTCCTCCTCCTCCTCCTCCTCCTCCTCCTCCTCCTCCTCCTCCTCCCCAAAAGATTGGAGCGGCGGGTTTGGGGGCGCTGTCGGCCGCCGAGGGCTCCCGCCAGGCCTCAGGACGGACAGAAAAAAAACGACGCAGGACGGAAAAAAAACTTGCCTTATATCGGGGAGACGTAAGACCCGGGTACGGGGGACTCGGAAATCCCCGACGAGGTCGTCAAAAAAATGACGAGGCCGAGCCTGCATTTTGACGAGGCCTCCCGCTGCAGACATCCCACGAAACTCCTCCTCGTCAAAATTCGAGGCGCGGTCGTCAAAAAACGATGGCGAACCCGAGTCCTGGCAAACCCGGGTCTTACGCTCCCCCGATTATAGAGAGGGGCCCATGCCTCCAGGGCCCACGCATCGAGAAGACTGGAGCGGCCAGATGTCTGGGCAATGGGAGGCCTCCTAGATGGGGTCCGAGCACAGGGGGTCGGAGGATCGCGCCGCATCGCCGATGCATCGGCCATACATCGCCGATGCGTCAGTGACGCATCGGCGACGTCAGCGGTGCCATCGGCGCCGTCTGCGTTGAGAAAGCAGGGCTCCGCATCGAGACGCATCGCCATGCATCGGCGATGCCGCGCAATCCTCCGACCCCATCTACTCGAACCCCATCTGGGAGGCCAGGAGCAATACACCCACTTCCCTTCGAGATCCTGGCGTCGACAAATTTTTCGAGCCAGGCGTTTTCGCACAGCTTCGGGCCCCGGGACCCTCGCAGGTCGGTCCGGCCAAAGAAGTGGCGCAGACAAAGGGGGTCCAGGGCTCCAGCCACGAGTTTTCACAGCGTCTCGACTCCTGTTGAGACGTCGGATCTCAGGGTACACTGGGGAGACGCAAGACTCGGGTTCGGGGGACTCGGACCATCCTGGCAGGGCCGCTGGGGAAGTGACGACGGCCCAGCCGGAAAATTGACGCGAGCTCTCGCCGCAGACGTCCCACGCAAACCGCAGACGTCCCCCGTACCACGGGCTCGTCGGAGAGCGTCGACCATCCCGAGCTCCGGCGACCTCGAGCCCGACGCTTCCCCGACAGACAGTAGGGGCCCGACCACGAGAAACCTTCCACAAGAAAAACCATCCCTGAGACCCAGGACGTCCATGGATGTTTTGGCGTGGGAACGCCACGCTGCACATCGCAGAACCATCGAAACCCAAGAAACGCAGGGCTCCGTGGACACAAGCAGGGTGCTTCTTGGCATGGGCCCCAACTGTACGCTTCCCCGACATGCACGGCCGTTTGACGTGGGACCGCCACGTCTTCCAGAGAACACCCATCGAAACCCAGAAACCAGGGCACCCTGGTAGGGCGACGCAATCTATACATATCCACTGCTCCCTGGCCAGGCCCATCCTGAACACAGCAGCTGTGTACACGCCACGCCCTCCTGGTTTGGCCAGGAGGGCGTATACACAGCTCCTGGGCTCAGGATGGGCCTGGCCAGGGAGCAGTGGATATGTATAGACCTCGTCCCCCGACCCAGGGCACCCTGGAGGCAAGCAGGGTGCTTCTTAACGTGGGCCCCCACTGCACGCTTCCCAGGCATCCGCGCCCACTCCGCTCCTGGACGGCCCGCTTCCTGGGCCCGGCATCGGCCTGCCCAGGAGGGGCGTGAGTGCTCGGCAGCAGGGATCGACCTAAGCTGTGCGCTTCGTCTTCGTCTTGCTTTTCATGCTTCTCCCTTGACTACCTGCCAGACCACCCCAACCCAACCCGAAGACCCGAATTTCGGGTTGGGGGGGGTAAGGGTTCCACACGTGTTTTTTCGACGTTTCCCGACCCCCCCCCCACTGGAAATCGAGGGTAAATCTGAGCCTTCGGGTTGGGTTGGGGTGGTTTGGTGGGTGGTGATCCCTTGTGTCTTCAATCGGCCTTTGCTGCAAAACGAAGTCGAAACGAAAGCGGCCCACGACATCGCCGAAACACCGTTCAGATCGACCTCTGTCCGGCAGCGAGCCCGGGGAGGAAGCGAGAAGGGGCGGGCCTTCTCTGGACAAGCGCGTTCCGCTACTCGCAAAGTAATTACTCGCAGATGGCACGAATCCGCCGCGAGGGATCTACGATTAATTACATAAGAAGGAACACATGCGCTTTTCGGACGTGTGCGAGCAGGCACTTTGCAAGCAGTGGAACGCGCTCGGTGATTGTCAGAAGGCTCGGAAGCCCCCCTGGCCTTCTGTCAAGTCTTCCGAGCCTTCCCCGCAGGCAGAGAAAGCTTAAGAAGCCCCGCCGCCTCCTGTCGGCGGTGGACAAACCTCCCTTTAGTAAACCTCCCCTTAGTGAAAACGGCCTGGGACCGAAACCGACGGACCCGGACCTGCAAAATGACGGCCGCGACACCCTCTGGCGAACCGAAAACGGCCAATTTCTTGATCGACGTGTCAGGGTAGGAGGTCTATCCACCCCGATTCTGAGAATAGAAGCAGGAGAAAAAAACGATGGAGACACAAACTGTTGGCGCTCCGCGCGGATTTCTTGGATCTGCGCTGGACCCCCCTCCACGGCGCGCGGAGCGCGCAGGGGGCGCCGCCGGAGGCGCCGCCAGGGGGTCCAGCGCAGATCCAAGAAATCCGCGCCGAGCGCCAACAGTTGATATGTATAGCGCTTTGTCTCCTTATTCAGATGTTTTATCACTATTCTGATTCGAGTTCTTCTTTTCATTGTCATGATTCTTCTTTATTAGTATTAGTAGTATTATTATTCATATTATCAGTAGTCTTCTTATTCTGATGATTAGTATTATTAGTACTATTATTATTATTATGATTATTATTCGAGAGAGAGAGAGAGGGAACAAACAAAATGCCTTCTCCTTCTCGTTTCCCCCCCATCGCTCGCCGCCGAGGCGTGCAGTTGGCGCCCTCCGAGCTCCGCCGGCGCTTCCCGCGCGTGCCTCAGCAGATCCAGCAGCCCGGCATGCCGGCCCCCGCAGGCGGGGCACCTGCGCGGGCGGCCTGCTGGTCCGGGCGGCCCGTCTCTTCGGGTCGGGCACGTCCCCCCTTGCGGGCGGGCTCTCGACGAGGAGCCACAACAGAGCTCCAAAATACCCTCCCCAAAGAAACCAGGACAAAGACCCCGAAGCCATCCGACTCGTTCTGAACGACGATCCTCCTGCAGGCGCCCCCAAAGTCGAATCGGCAAGTCGGATCGGCGATCGAAATGAGTCGGATCGGCGGAAATCGGCAGCCGAGTCGGGAGAAGTCGAATCGGCGGAAATCGGCAGGCTAGTGTGCCTCCCAATAAGACATCGGAGCCCAAATCGGAATCCGACGTCGAACCGAATCGGAGTCGGAAACCATCGAGATCGAATCGACGCGAATCGAATCGGAGGAATCGAAACGAGCCCTGCTCCTGTGGAGGGGCGCCGCGCGACTGGAACCCATCTCGGGGGGGGGGGGGGGGGGGGGGGGCGCGCGGGGCCAGGCCAGCCAGGGCACGGCAGAGGCTCAGCCTCGCGCAGGGGAGCCGTTCCCTCCTGGGGGCACTCAGCGCCGGGAGGCGCCCGAGGATGCTTCGAGGAGCCTGGTCGATGCACGGGCGCCTCCTTGAAGACCAAGGAGGGGGAGGAGGAGGAGGAGGAGGAGGAGGAGGAGGAGGAGGAGGAGGAGGAGGAGGAGGAGGAGGGGAGGAGGAAGAGGAGGAGAGGGAAGAGAGAGAGGAGGAGGGGGAAGAGGAGGAGGAGGAGGAAGAGGAGGAGGCGCCCAAGGATGCTTCGAGGAGCCTGCTCGATGCACGGGCGCCTCCCGGAGCCGGGAGGCGCCAGGAAGAGCCGACTACCCCCACCTGCCCATTTCACCCCTTTCCCCCCCGTTCCCCCCCCTTCCCCCTTACATCCCTTCCCCCCCCCCCCCCATTCCCGCCCCGTTCCCCTCTCCTCTCCCTTTCCCCCTGTCCCCCCTTTGCCCCTTCCCTCCTTCCCCTTTTCCCCCCCCGCCCTTCCCCATTTCCCCCCTTCCCCCTGCTTCCCCTCGTTCCCCCCTTGCTCCCTTCCCCCCTTCCCCCTCCTTCCCCCGTTCCCCCCCTTCCCCCTTCCCCCCTTCCCCCCTTCCCCTTCCTCCCCCTTCCCCTATGCTACCCCTTCGTCCGGCCCGAACCTCCAGGACTCCGCGGCGCCCCCGCTCGCCACCATGGCGCCGGCCAGCGCCTCCAGCGCGTCGCGGTCGAAGTGGTCGGGGTCGAAGCTGCTCTGCAGGTCGACGGGGTCGCGCGTCGAGCGCGCGAGGAGCCGCTGGAGTCAGGTCGGGCCTGTCCCCCTCCAAACCTATTTTTGGACGAGAACAATGACAAGAGATACCCCAGAAACGTCAAACAAAGAAACAAAAATGGTCAAACATCGTCCCCACTATTTTGTACTATGTTTGAATATTCCTCCTGTAGAGGGACAGGCCCGACCTAACGCTGGAGCACGTGCTCGCTGAGCGCCCGCCTACTGGGGAACCTGGGGAAACCAGAAGGTGATGATACCGCTGCTCCTGGGACCTCTCCCGGGGGGGTGCTCTGGCCAGAACTTCGAGGCGAATCCGGCGGTGGCAACGAGGGCCTCCGAGGAGGCCCCACAAGGCGAAAACACAGGAGGGGGGGTAGGGGTACGGGCTCATGTCGGACGAACAAAAGGTTATCCCAGAGCGACCCTACCTAGGAGTTGGAGCCCCGAAGAGAACAATATTAGTAGTAACGGTAAACGCCGTCCTCCTATGCTGCGCTATGCTATGCTATGCTGAGGTATGCTATGCTATGCTATGATATGATATGTTATGCTATTATATGTTATGCTATGATATGTTATGATATGATATGATATGATGCGCAATGCTGCGCTATGCTGCGCTATGCTATGATATGCTATGCTAGGGTATACTAGACTGCGCTATGGTATGCTAGGTTATACTATGATATGCTATGTTGCGTTATGATATGATGTGCTATGCTATGATATGCTATGCTATGATATGCTGCGTTATAATATGATATAATGGGCTATGATATGCTATGCTGCGCTATGCTATGATATGGTAGGCAATGGTATGATATGATGTGCTAGGCTATGCTGTGCTATGCTATGCTGCGCTGTGGTGTGCTATGATATGCTTTGTTATGCTGTGCTGCCCTATGCTATGATATGCGATGCTATGATATGATATGCTGCGCTATGTTATGCGATGATATGATATGTTATGTTATGATATGATATGAGATGCTATGGTGTGCTGCGCTGTGCTGTGCTAAGCAAAGCTATGATATGCTATGCTGCACTATGCTATGCTATGATATGCTATGCTATGCTATGCTACGCCATGATATGCTGCGCTATGATATGCTATGCTATGAGACTCTATGTTATGCTATGATATGATATGCTAATGCTGCGCTGCGCTGCGCTAAGCTAAGCGGAGCTAAGCTAGGCTAAGCTAAGCTAAGCTGAGCTAAGCTAAGCTAAGCTAGGCCAGGCTAAGCTCAGCTAATTAAGCTAGGCTGAGCTGAGCTAAACTAAGTTAAGCTAGGCTAAGCTAACATGAGATAAGCAAAGCTAAGCTAAGGGGCGCAACTGGGGGAACCGCGGGGCGGATACTGGGGGAACCGCCCGGCCCCTTTTAAGCCCAGCGAGTAAGAACCTTCTAGGCAGAGCCTAGGTAGGGAACAAATCCTCCTCCTCCTCCTCAAGACTCCCTTACGGCACGGCACCAACACGAACAACGACAATAATGCCAGCAATAAGACTTACATCTAGAACAATGAAATAAGCTAAGCTAAGATGCGATCGGCAACGCTAAGCTAAGGGGACGTAACTGGGGGAACCGCGGGGCGGATACTGGGGGAACCGCCCGGGCCGGTTCCCACTGCCCGGCCCTTTAAGCCAAGAGAGTAAGAACCCTTCTAGGCAGAGCCTAGGTAGGGAATAAACACATCATGAAGTAGGAAGGCGGATAGAGTAGATTGGGTTCAGGCCCTCCCAGAGAAAAAGAATACATGTATGTGGATATACATATATATATATATACATATATATACACAAATATACATACACGCGTACGTATACATATATATATATATATATATATATATATATATATATATACATATACAGATAAGCAGAAGCATATCGAATCTTGGAGTAGGAAGGCGTCTGAAATAGATCGGGGTCAGGGGAGCCCACAGCACCTACTCTCAACGACTGACGGGCACCCCCTCTTCCTCCGAGGCACCCGCGCAGGCAGCCGTGGCACTCCCAGGCCGCGGCGGCCGCCAGGGCCCCACGCTGGGCCGCCGTCGAGGCGGCCCCGGCGGGCCCCGCGGACGCCTCGGAGCTGCTGGACGAGCCCACCTCCTCTCGGAGGCCTGGAGATGGGCACCAGCGCCACCACAGGGGGGGTTGCCTCCGCAGGGGGGAAGACGATCCTTTTGGACGCCCGAAATGGGTACGGAAAGAATGGGTACAATGCCCAACAACAAGTGTTGTCCCATACCAAGAGCGGCCGCTGTTGGGCAGGCGGTCTTCTGTCTCAAACGGACACAGGCCGCGGCGGCGCGGACAGCGAGTCCTGTTCAAAATGAACAGGAACTGCTGTTGTGCATTGTACCCATTCTTTCCGTGCCAATTTCGTTCGTGCAGAATCCTGGATCTCGGTATGGGTGGTCCTGCTTCGGCCCTCTCCTCTCAGGAGCCAGAACACTGCCCACCATCACCGAGATGGGGCTCTTCGCCCCTCGGTGGAAGAACACCGCCGATACTGGTGCTGGTGTCAACATCTGGGCCTCCGATCCTCGCTCTCCGCTCCCTCGGCCAGGGCGCCGCCTGCGCCGCCCGGCCCCGAGCGCAGCGAGACCACCGCGGCGCCCCGCCGCGCCGCGCGCTCCCACCCCGGCGCGGAGCCCGCGGCCGAGAGCTCCTTCCAGCCCGGCAGCGACCTTGAAGGGGCCCTGGGACGCACAAATAAATACACACAAATAAAAAGATTCCCTATATTTTCCAATATTTTCTGGGTTTTTGTCTTCCCGCCCAATTCCCATATTTTCCCATATTTTCCTGGGAATCGACGATTAATTGTGTCTGTGTGTTTTTTCCCCTCCTGAGACCTGCCGATGCGGCAGGACGGGACGCTGTCGCGGACGAACCGCCCCACGAAGCGCAGGGCCTGGCGGCCGCCGCCGCCGGCCGCGGAGCCAGACGCCAGCAGGGCCCGGCGGACCCGCGGCTTGCGCACGAGCTCCTCCAGCTGCGTCCTGCCGCCAGGGCACTGGCGCAGCGACGTCAGGATCGCGCGCCGCAGCCGCGGCTCGCTGGGCATCTCATCGTCTGTGGTGCCGCTGCTGCTGGCCTGGCCTGGCGGCTGCCCCACCAGCTCGTCGGATGGG